TAATAATAATAATAATAATAATAATAATAATAATAATAATAATAATAATAATAATAATAATAATAATAATAATAATAATTAAACTTACAATTTCATCAGCCTTAAAATTTTTATCAAACTTATCCAAATCAGTAGCTAAACTTTTGGTCTGAAAAGCAGCTTCAACTATTGCATCAATTTTTGCTAAGAATTCAGGATTAGAATAGATATCATCTTCTCCTTGAGATTGAGAATCTTGTGAATATGTTTTTGCTTCATCCTTCAAATCAATAGCAAAGTCTATTTGGTTCTCTGATACAATCTTCAAGTCACGACCAAATTTCATCATTTTCTTCTTCGCAGGCTAATAAAAAATAGAATAAAAAGTGAATAAGTAAAATATAATAAAATATCCTAATTCTTATTCCTAACAGAAGTTATATAATCAAAAACTGAAAATATGTTAATGCTTAGTGTAGTAATTTAATTCCTGACTAATATAATTTTTTTTCCTATCTATAATAATTTAATTCATGATTGAAATAACTTATGTCCTTAATATATTAATTCATTCCTGACCAAAATTAACATATTCCTGACTAACAGTTTTTTATTGCAGATAAAAGTAATCTAATTTCTGAGTGACAATATTAATGTTGATTGACATAAAAGCAAGTTATACAAAATCAAAACTTGAAATATAAACTTTAAAAAATTAATAAAAAGATGAAATTTTAAACTTACATCGATATCCATATTATCAATATCAGCATCAGTAGGATACTCTTTAGGAATCCTGTACATTACATATCTAGCTTTGTCATCTTCAACTTTCTTCAAATCAATGCTAGTAAATTGTACACCCTGGTCTTCCTTCTTTTCAACTTTCTTTTCATATAAATCTTCATCATCATTAGTGTCTTCAAGCTTAAACTCAATATTGTCCAGCCGTAAAGCTTTTAAAAGAGCTTGTTCACTTTTGCCAGCATATTGTTTTGGTATGGCAGGAGGATACAGTTTCACAGTACCAAAATCAATATTTTCTACAACAGACTTAATCCTCTCATTCAGACTTTCACAACTCCAATTCATTACAAATGGCTTCCGATGCAAAGTGGTTCCAAACTCAAGATTTTGCAAAAATGCAATTACAAAAGCAACAAGACAACCATTTACTTGTTTGGATTTAGTTTTCAACTCCTCTCCTGCCTTCTTCTTTAAAAGAAATGCTTGAAAGTCTGCTATTGAACTACATAAGAAGTCCATAACATAACCAACCCAATTGAAAGACTTAATGAAACGTACATCTTCTAAAGACTTGATGATGTTAAAATTGGGGGAACTTATCACCCATTGGAGCCAAAAAGTTAGAGACAACAAACATAACAAATAGTTTCTTAAAATCAGAACCACCCTGTCTATTTTTCTCAAACAACATTTGATAAGTAAGAAAATTGACATATGTCTTCTTCTTCTTACTCTGAACAGCTTTTTCGGATTCCTTCTTACTTAGAACAACTTTTTCTTCTGTTTTCCTCTTCTTTTTATTCTGTGCTTCAGATTCATTTCCCTTTTCTGAATCATCTTCTACATCCAAACACAAAAACTTCCTCCACTCTATCTTCAAATATTCATCAGGATTAAATGATTTCTTGTTTTTTGAAATCTCTTTCACAGCTATATCGGTATAAGGAATACCCAACACATCAGCAATATCAGAACTATCAATATGAATTGCATGTTCCTTTTTACCCACAATCAGATTTCTAGCCTTGGGATTATAATGAGTTACTATATAACTGTACAACTGATGGCTAATATTTTCCTTCATATTCATATGAAGCAATCCACCAAAACCAATGTCTATTACATCCTTCTTTTGCTCATCACTTAAATCTTTCAGAATTTGACAAAGATAATTAGGACCAGATTTATTTCCAAGTTCAAAGTCTGAAATATCATCTTCAGTAAGAGCACTGAAAAATTAAAAGGTATAAAATAACATTAAAATTATAGGATGAATAAAACAAACTTATTCCTGACAATAATTATGTTATTCATGATAATAGTAATCTTATTTATGAGGCTAATTATCTTTTTCTTGACAAAATTAAATTAATTTATGACCAAAATAATCTTAATCCTGATTGAAGAAATATTATTCAATACTGAAGAAATTTCAATATTGACAAGAAGAACTTAATTTCTGATCAAAATCATCTAAATCCTAACAAACATATACTAATTTCTGATAGAAAGAATATAATTCCTGACAATATAATAGTGCATCCTGACAAAAATAATGTAATTAGATTAAAAGATGAATTAAACAAACTTATTTCTGACAATAATTATGTTATCCCTGATAATAGTAACCTTATTTCTTTGCATAAATATCTTTTTCCTAACAAAAATAACTTCATTTCTGACTAAAATAATCTTAATCTTGATGAAAGCATTATAAAATGTAATGACACATATCTTAGGCCTGATTTAAATAATCTTATTTATGAGCATAATTATCATTTTACTGACAAAACTATCTTCATTTCTGACCAAAATAATATTAATCCTGATAAAAGATATAATCTTAATCCTGATTGAAGCAATATTATTCATTTCTGATGTAATTTCTATACTCAGAAGAACTTAATTTTTGACCAAAAATATCACATTAAAATTGTGAAAAGAATAAAACGATCTTATTCTTGACAATAATTATGTTATCATTGATAATAGTTATCTTATTTCTGAGGCAAATTATTTTTTCCTGACAAAAATAACTTAATTTCTGACCAAAATAATATTAATCCTAATTGAAAAAATATTATTCATTACTGAAGTAATTTCAATACTAACAAGAAGAACTTAATTTCTGATCAAAATCATCTAAATCATGACAAACATATACTATTATCAAAATAAAATAATAAAATTCAAGATAATATTATAAAATGCTAATTTCTGATAGAAAGAATATAATTCCTGAACATATAATAGTGAATCCTAACAAAAAAAAATGTATTATCAAATTACAACAATATAATTACATACAACAGTAAGCTAATTGTACACAAAAATATTCTACATAAATACCTTAAGTGCTATGTTTACTAACAACAAATTGCATTTTATCGAACACCTGGCATGCATCTGGTTATACAAACAAATTTTTTTCCGCATTTAAAAGAATTTATTGAATTTTTTCACACCTAACAGATCGACTTCGTTTAGAACCTGGTTTAGGACCACGCTTCTTCAATGGAGGTTGTGAATGATCCCTGCAAAACAAAATAATAAATTAGTGAATAAGAACTTTTTAAAAAAAGTATAACCTAAAAATAACTGTAAAATAGTAAACCTTTCAGCCATTGCAACTATTTGCTTCTGTGTTGGTGATTGTTTAGTTCGTTTCTTATAAAATTTTAGAGATGAAAGGTCAACCATTAATGTAGTCGAAAAGGACGATATTAGGGTTTATATAAAAAAAAATTAAAATTAAGTAATGGAGTGTAGCTGCAAATAAAATTTAAGCTAGAAACTGAAGGAGTTATGCGAAATATACGGGAAAATGGAGGCAATTTGATAGTAATGGAGTGTAACTGCAGAAAACGTGGGGAAGAAGAAGAAGGAGAAAGGCGGAACGTTGGAATGAATTTTGATTTTTTTTTTAAAAATGAAAAAAAAAACAGTTTATTTAATGTTCGGGCCGTGCGCGGGTGAGTCCGTTCTACACAATATTTTTCTATTTGAAATTTATGGGTTGTTCAACTTCCTATGTGAATCAAAAGACTATATATACATATTTTGTATATTAAAAAAACATCATACTTGGGTAGTTAAATTATGTATCTATGCATTAATTTTTAACACCAATAAAAATGTCTTTTCTCTCTTTTTTTTTCACCATTATTTTAAGGAAATGTTAGAAAATAACACCATAAATTTCACAAAAAATTGATTATAACACCACAAAATCTCAAACTTTTATTATAACACCACAAAAAATTCAAAATTTTGATTTCACCACCACCTAATGGATTCTTGGATGGAATCCTGGGGCTCACCGTGGACATGTGTCACTCAGTGATTTGTTTATAAAAATAAAAACAAAAATTAATAAGAAAAAAAAAATTAAACCCTAATTTAACTCAACCCACCACCGAAACCACCAAAGCTAGCCGGCGATAGCCCAAAGCTTGCCGCGGACAGCCCAAACCCAATTGCAGGAATCCCCTGACCCCACCAAAACTGCCGACTCCACCACTTCCTCCCTTCCCCCCTCTCTGAAAACCACCCTATCCCCCGCAACCACCTCTCGAAAACCACCCAAATTATGAATTAAACCCCATCCACCGGTGTTAGGGGAGGAAGTTACGAGGGTATCCAGCGTTAGGGGGGAGGGTTTCAGTGATTTATGGTGTTATTTTTGTGGTAAAGGTTCTTTTATTAAAAAAGGGGGGCATCAAAAGTCGTTTTTTTTATCTCTCTTAGCTTGTGAAGAAGATCCTTTAACGAACCGGATTCCGATCATTGACTTTGTTTTCCGGGAAAAAAAAATTATGTGACTTCCAAGTGATCGCTTTTAATCGATTTTGTCCCCCTTTTTCCTATAATAATCCCTAATTTCTTCTTCGTCAATCCTCTCTGTACACCCTAATTTCTCAAGAAGTATTGTCAAAATTTGATCCAAGCCTCATGTGACTCTCTCTCTTAAAGAACATACATAATTCTATATTATGCATAAATTCTCAAGAATAATATAACCTTTGATTGATTTTTCAATAATAAAACAACTTTTCAATTATCCCAAAATAAGACCATTTTTGCACTTTATTTAAGTCAACATGTAAGGATTAACCTACTAAATTTTCACCATTTTCACACGTTCAATTATCGGTAACTGTTATCTTTTCACCATCTCAGTCACAATAAAATAATTCCCCTACAAAAATTATCCCCTTGAATTATTTTTTTTGAAAACATGTTTTTTTAAGCTAAGCACGAGTTTTGAGCACTGATTATCCTAACTAAGCCAAACTTGAATAGTTGAATATGAGTTCTGAACAAGCAATATACTCGTCTAAAATATCAGGTCTCTTTAATCGGCTGTAATTGAATGTTAATTGATAACACTCAAGGAGCATGGCTTTCTCTAAACCTGCCAATATATGTTGATTCCACAAAAGCTAACATTGCTCAATGCAAGGTAGGCTATCACCCTATACATACAACGTTGCAAAGCTTAGTATTCTAAAACTTTGAACTCAGACATATACATGTATATGAAGCAAGTTGATCATATACTTTTATTTACAATGGTTCTTTGCCTGATCTTGGCCATCTCTCTCCTGTGTGATTTTGCTTGATGGTGCCTTTGAAAATGAATAAATAAGCCTGTTGGACTTTTGTGGCTGTAATTGAATGCCGATTGAGAACACCCAAGGAGCATGTCTCTGATCACTTGAAGAAATGAGATATGGTGTTGCAGAAAATTCACGGGTATATCAACTCAGGTCGAATCCAGCATCTGAGCTTATAGCATAGAGCAATTTACTCTCTAATTGCTCCTTGCTATATGACAAAATAACTAATGAGAATTCATCACTTGAAAAAAAGACAAGTTTTATTTGCTGCAAAAATCTGGGGAACAAATGCATGCACAGAGCAAAGTCCAATTAAATAAAGTATGCTAGAAGCTTGAAGAGGAGAAAATTGGCCACTCAGTGCAAGCATTATGTATGCAGACTCATTAAATAGCGTTATGTGCACTACATTGCTACACAAAAGCTTCCTTTTAAAGAGTTCATGAGCAACTGTTGCTCTGCTTGGCTGATTTCAAATTTTGGACATTGCTGATATTTGATGTGGAAAAGACAGAACATTTCTTTTATTGAACAGGAGGGGAGGGGGTAGGGAACAAAGGGTCATATGATAAAAAAATAATAAATAAAATAAAAGAGAGCGCCAATAGATGTGAGATGGCCAGCATGTTTATTTCAAGGCAGCTTGCACTATATTATTACTCAGAAACTAATCCCAAAATTAAGCTAGGCATGGAAAGGATTGGCTAGGCCAAGGCAGCATTTAACACTTAGTGAGTCAGTGAGATTTTCAATGGAGATTGGCAGCAAAAGATATGGTTAAGTCTACTTGATGAAAGAAAAGTAGGACAAAGACACTAACCTTCTATATGGCGGAAGCTTCAGAAGGTTCATACAAGTTGCTGATGTTGGCAAGCGTTCAAGAGCTTCCTCTGAAGCACTACCAGCAGCTCTACAAAAGTAATCAAGCATATTAATCAGAACGTGCCATTTCCACACACAATGATGTCTTTATATAGAAAAAAGCAGAACCTTTGTATGCAAAACTGAGGCTCCAGGGATTTGAATCCAAGAAGTGGTCCACGAGAGCATCCAGTGACGAATCTAGGAAGCAAAAGAAATAGCAAAAGTTTGAGTCTTATTCAGAAATTCATGCAAGAACTCAATTCACTCATACTTGTACTAAAAACAATTCCATCTACAAAATTGCAACACGAGGGGAATGCAAGAAGAGAGACAAAATATATATGCATTATTTTTTTTTTTTTAAAAAGGCAGGGAGTAAGGGACCCATATGATAGGGGAAGAAATAGAAAAACCTTAGCCAAATAAAGTAATGTTGCAATTATTATGCAACTTCCCACAAGGGAAGTGAAACGAATTTTGAAAAACAAAGTAACACAGTGGAATATTATACATTAAACTCCACATGCTCAGCACTTTTTCTACGGGGATACATGATTTTGACGCAAAATCAAATTCAGCAGTAAAATAACGCATATCCAACATTTAAGAAATGCATAGATAGAAAAATATATACACCTTTATTCTGTTTAAATCGCAATGTTGGTGATTTCACGCTTAATTTTAATATCTTAAGTTGTATTTTAGTAGAAATCATAAAAGTTCATATCTTGAAAATACATTTCATGCTTAATTTTAATGTCTTAAGTTGTATTTTAGCAGAAATCATAAGAGTTGATATTTGAAAATATATATGTAAAAGCTCCCAAGACAAGTTTTCCTTCAAACATCTGGGAATCTCAAACCCAAACTATCATTAAGAGATCTATGGGGAAATTGTTCTTATTGGTCCAATCCATATGTTTTACTAAAAGCATCAGATAAAAGAATGGTATCTAGATTGGCTTCAAAAAGACTACTAAAACACTCACTTGAGAAATTTCATCTGGTTTTCCTGAGAGAGGCTCTTGAGGACTTCCCAGAACATCTCAATAACATAGTGCTCCTGTCAAAAGGAACAACAGGTTAGCTAGATCTATCAACGCAAAATTACTTCTTGCTTCAAATTACTTTGAAAAAAGGAATTAACAATAGTAATGCAAGTAACAGTAAGGGGAAAAAATGTAAAAGACCAGAAAATGCACAATCGAAAAATCTAATGATGACTCTCAAGGGCGTCAAATCTTCAACAGGTCAGTCAATATCCTCAATCAAAACAGCCTGTCTTATTCAATGATTGAATCTTTAGAAGAATTTGGACAAAATACGCACCAAGGGAATTAGGCATTTGAATTGATGACAATTTGTAGTTTGAAAGTATATAAGTACCCAAAGATGAAAGCCTTTATGTTAGAACTGAACTTATAGATAACACAACACTTGAGTAAATTCACAGAACATTACTTCAAGCTGTATCTGCAAAGAAAAATTTTCTAAAAAAAAAAAAGGCTAAAAAAAAACACGGAGATGCCACAAACTCATTTTTGATAATGAGGCTCTTGTAAAAGAGAGCTTCAACACGCAACTTGGGAACCCATGCCTGTCCATTCAACTGATAGCATGGCAACTTGCAAAAGCATCCTTGACAAGAAACGACTTTTTTGCTTTGGGTCTTCCATAACCAGGGGGAAGGGGGTGGGAGGAGTGTGCCAGCAGAAACCCTGGACAATATAGACCCATCATACCCCCCCACCTCCACCAATATTGACATATGTGATAAGTGAATACAAGGATGGTCAAAACCTCATTCAGGAATGCATCAATGTATTTAGTTATGACAAGGAAAATAATTCACTTCCAATCCATTACTTTAGTTCAACGAACATCAAATGTGGGAACAACACAACAAAACAAAAAGAATACAATGCGAACATTTTCACATTGAGACATCATCTTTCAAATTAAGGTTCATTGTGTAATTAATTATAGGGAGAGTGTTCTTGCTATCGTTAATGTCATACATCGGAAGCCAACAGCTCAACTTCAAGGAAATATGTTTATGATATTTGGTTCCCCTCCCAGTTTAATCAATAACAAGTCTTTGGGTACCCTTGTCATGCATAATGGCCTTAGTGTACAGTATGGAAAGACAGAATGTGTTTCTAATTGATCTAGTCTATGTTGATGATTTACTTGGCTTCTACTGGCATTAATTTGGTAACATGCAACTCCTTCACACTTAAAGGCCTAAGTTTGTAGAATTGTTTTTTAGGCATTCAATCAGCTCATTCTCCAAAAGGATGAGAGGCGGTATACCATTCTATGGCTTTTATGTAGTAAAATCAAGTGGTTGAAGAGATTTCATAAACTCTCCAGGGCTTATCCATCTTCATCCAATTCGTCTTTTACATTAATATTTTACCGTGATCATACGAATAGCCTTTGATAAGTTGTCACTTTGGGTGTGAGCTTCTCTTAGATGGAACTATTATGACTGCATCTATGCACCAAGTACCAACCTGCTGAGCTGTTATAGGAACTTTGAGCAAGGAATAGTTCTTATTTTTATTATGCAAGTTGGGTGATCGTTGTATACAGATCCAACTTGAGGGCAAGTAGTTATATTGTTTGTATTTTATGCTATCCTTTGGCTCTTTAACCATTTATCTACACTTTGTTTGGATAGCAAAGAAGGAAAGGAAAGGAAGGGGAGAGAAAGAGGAAGAAGGGGAGGGAAGAGAAAGGGAGGAAAAAGGTGATCTCTGTTTTCCCTTCAAATCTCTCCAATTTTGGAGGGATTTTGCTTATTAAAGAGAGTAGGAAAGACAAAACTTTTACAAAAACCAGGTGTATATTAATTACTGTGTGGCGGGAAGAAAAATGAGAGAAGTATGGGTAACTTTTGTGACACTATGGGTAACTTTGAATAGTAAATTGGTAACTTTGTGAAAATAAAAGTAATTGGGTAATGTGGGTAATTTTTGATAGTTTACGGGTAACTTTTGTGAGGATAACAGTAACTGGGTAGTATGGGTATCTTTTGATAGTTTAAGAGTAATTTTGAGAGAATAAAAGTAGTTGGGTAATAAGGGTAACTTTTATGGGACTAATTACCTAGCCTTTTTTTTTTTTTTTTTAAATCTTCTCATTAATTAGTAGCTAGCATTTTCATCTTTTCTAAACTTTGAAACTGGACTCTTGTACGGTTTGTACACCATGGTTTCCATTCTTATTGTAATGGAAATATAAAAACATTAACCTAAATTACCAACAAGCCACTATTGTACTCTCTAGTACTTCAAGCTTAACAAAGTAACTTTCTGCATCCCAAACCCCAGACTTTTCTCTCACAAAAAAGTAACTTTCTGCATTAAGATAGCTGAGTACAATTTACTTAGTGTTAGGAGAAAAGGCAAAGAGAGAAGACATACTGCATGGTATCCGCCTGAGTATTGGGTATTAGAACGTAGATCGTCAATATCCAAACCATCAAGTGAACCTGATATCAGAATCTACACAGGCGAAGAACAATTAAGGGCCATCCCACAAGTACAAATTGATGCAGAACAGAAAAGGTAATTACTTAAATAGAAGACAACAAAATAACACATTTTAATGAGAAGAAAGCATAGAACAGTAGACGATTTGCAAGGAAATATTTTCTCGCTTGTAAATTCTATGATAACTGCACTTATAAACTCTCCATCCCCAGCATTCCAGCCTAAATCGGCTTGAAACCCATAAAATTTAGCACTATACAGGAGCTTTAAGCTGCTTATAATTTTATTAATAGCTTCCTTTTTCATGAAAAAGGCAAAATGATAGAATACAGAAACAACAGAAGAAAGGAATACACTCTTTTCAGAGAAAAAAGATGACAATACCTGAAGTTCATGCTCATTGAACATATCAATCCATTCCTTTTGTATGAGTTGCTGAAATCCTCTGAGGAAATGCGAACTTTGCTGACGTATCTGATAATAGTAGTATTCATTAGTTTCATAGATTTATGTTGCAAGTAGAAAGCCCAAGTGTACATACATAAAGAAATATGAATTACCTGATAATTCAATCGATGATTCGCTATTAGATGTATAAATGGAATCATATTTTCATTTGTAACACGAATATTCTTCCCTCCAGGAATCAACTCTTCTTCAGTTTGTTCTCCATATTCATTATTCACAATAACAAAGTACAATTCCAAGTTTGAAACATCACCTTGATAATGCTGCAGGTAGATACAAGATTAAAGTAAAACAATACCAATTAGCTGCAAAAGATGGTAGATTCTGAAACACATCGTAAATTGGCAAACAAGGAAAGCAGGTGATAACTGACAGCAATCAGGTAAACAACAAGAGATAACATTTGACATTTTCTTTACTACTCTTCCATCTCACGAAAGAAAAGGCAAAGATAATGCATACAGAACTAACCAATCTCAGTAATAAAAGAAAATCAACCTGCATGACTACTTTACAACCTAGGATGTATACCCCGCAAGGACTTAAAAAAATGTACATACTAAAGGAACCACAAAGCAAATGTGTTAATTATATGCACCAACACTTCTAAGCTAAAAGGAAACGAACAGGAGGGATACTGAAAGTATCCTTTTTATGTTTCATCGAGAGTCAATACAGAATACATTTGTGTTTCCCTACCTTTTACTGCCTAACTGACGATTTAAAGCCTTAACTGTTAATTCATGTCAAATAATACCTAAATATCATATAAAGTTTTCAACGAAGCCCAAGATATGGAAACATTTGACAAATATTCACATCAAGCAGAAAATTGAGAGTACAGGTTGAAAAAGACTTTTTTGTTTTTTTTTAGAAAATGATGTATCAGCAGTCATATTATGTATAAAATCAGTAATAACAGATATTGGAATGCTAAATTTTTAAAGATCATTAAGCAAGACATGCTAGAGCATTATATTGATGAGAATCATTAGCCATCACATATATGATTTGAATTGTTATAATCGATCACATTGCCAACAACCACATACAACCAAAGTTGCAAAAAAGTTATGATAAGATTTCCAAAACATAACCAAGACCAAGATGCATACCTTCAAAAATATAAGGTGGCGGTATAGTTCTGGGTCCAGTGAAGGCAAGTCATTTAAATAGTTATGCCTGGGATCAAAGACACAAAAGAAGGTGAATCCAAAGTTAACTATATCATAGCAGTGCTGGTAATCAAGAAGTTTTAACACACACACACACACACACACACAAAAAGAAATATACCATAAGCCAAAAAACACTAGGTCTGACATATTTGGCTCAATGGCCGATTAAGCAACTAGGTGTAGGTGAGACAAAAATGCAACTAGGTGTAGGTGACACAAAAATAGGAAACAAGTACCTAAGTGTCATGTCAAAGTTTCAGAGTAGTCAAGTACATAATAGCAAGAATAAACAATTGACTGGACATAGTTCCAATACATAGTGAAATATACAGAGATTAGTTTCCGGGCCTTACTTTTGTTTTAGTTTGCTCAAGAAGAATGTTGCAAATGGTATGTCCACAAGAATTCCTTCAAACATTGCCTGTCCAGTAAGAAAAAGCAAATAAGAAACTGTAATTCATTTAAATCTTGAGACTTTGAGGTTTTTCACTAAACTCATTATAGTTGGAAGTTGAAATATTTTTTATTAATATATTTTTGCAGTACAAAGTAAGCCAGCTTCCATAGCAACTGCAATCCAGCAATACACCAGCTGGAGCATAGTCTAGGAAGGTGACAGGCACACAAATACACCTCAACCCAGCAAAAGTGGAGGCTTTTTTTCTGGAATACCTTTCGCAGAGGAACTAAAGAAAGAATTTCAACTAAGACATAAAAATATTAAATTTGTCAACAGTACTCACAAAAAAAGAAGAAAGAAAATATATAGTACGATATATTAGTAAGAAACAATCATAGAAGAATGGGTAGAGGTTATCCACTGTCTAGTAAAAGAGGTCACAAGACATAAGATACCATTATTCCATAATTGAAAATAGCTAGTCAAGACACACCTGATCTCAGTGTACGTTAACAAATAACAATTATATAAGAAAAAAGCTCAAGTTTCCAATATTAAACAACTAAGATAACCAAAGTGAATATATTTCATTACAGTGTAAATGTCTAAATACCTCATCCAATAGTTCATTTTAAGAGTTAACATAAATAACTACCGACTAGACATAGTTTGATATTTTCAAGTGGCCAAAAGAGTTAAACATACAAAGATACTGACTAGAATTAATGTATTTACAGGGAAGAATTTTATATCATGACATTAATAACATCTTAAATTCTGATGTTTATTCATACTCAAATTATCGACCCATCCATCTTTAATACGTAGTAAAAAAAAAATAAAAAAAAAAAAAAAAAAAAAAAAAAAAGCAACAAATTTTGAGGCCTCCCTTAATCAACTTTATTACAGTAATCACTCAATACATGCAACTACCCCAATGTACAGATTAAATAACATACCCAAAAAACTCAATGCTATAAAATCTTCAAAGACCACAAAATAGTCTCATATAGCTAAAGGCTATCTCCCTGATAATTTGTCTATGATATTATGTAATTCTAATTATAAGCCAAAGTTCAGCGCATCTAATCAAAAGTTCTAAACAGCACATTGCATCATACAATATACTGAAAGTGAATTTCATTATGACCAAGAAAAGAAAGAGTTGTAATAAAACACTTGTGTTTCCTCCAAGCTCCATTTCAATTCATAAGGGCAAGTACATGACTAGGTGAAGACCGGAGAGGGTCAAGTTTGTGAAAAAAACAATCACAATTCACAATACTTTTTCATTGATATTCCAAATTTATCACTAAGTTTTTACAAGAGCTACTTGTGAGGAACTAGTGAAGAGTAATTAGTACAAGTGAAGAATTATTTAATACCCCATAAATACAAACTATGCATAATACATTTGGGGGACAATGTAAAAGAGGAAAACTAGCCTATGAACTGAATGTATGGAGTATCTAACAATAGAAAAGAACAGAAGTTTATGTATAATCATATTACTGCCTGTTTTGGAAAACTATCCCGCTAAATAATAGACCCTACTCCTTGTGCCAGCTCTTTCGGAGACACTGTCAACTTGTCAAGTGTCAATTCATGATATCATTACCCTACCCACATGATTCCGAAACACGAGAAGGGAATAGAATATCAAAAAATTATTGGCCTCATAAAAGTTAAGGAAATACATTATCAACCATGCAATAAAAAAAATGAAGGTTACCCTCAACACATTCCAAAAGAAGACCGAGAAGAAAAGGCACTACAGTATCAGAAAAGTATGCTCCCTAATATTCAATTTCACAGGGAGGAATATGAAGTTACTGACCAAAATACAGTCATAATGAACATGACATATCAAGGTAGGTGCCAACTTCATGCATGGAAGACCTTTCAACATTTTAGGTGAAAGAATCAAAAGTCTAGAAAAGCTTTTCATAACTGAATTGAAATAATCCTTAGCAAAAAATTTAGAGTATCAATTTCGAACCAAACATCCCCAGCTATTTTCTGAGATTACCAGAAATTCACATCCAAATGAGTAAAATTTTACAGGTTGGAAATGGATTACAGAAGCAACAACAATTACCTTGTCATCAATTCCATATGTTAAGTTAACTAAGGCCAACACAATAATTTCCAGTACCAAAAAAGGGTAGGATCTGTGATTTAAGAGTAGAAAATATAAATTTTACCTTTGCCAAAATTGTTCCCAAGAAATGGAAGTACTGCAGATGCTGTTCATGGACTAGACCTGACCCTGGGTTAGGGTAGAGTAGGTGATCAGCTGTCTCCTGGATTCATAAAGAACAAGTAAATCTTCTGAACTAAAAGCAACACAGGTATCATTAGCTTAAATATGTAAGTCAGAACAAAACATAACTTATTTCTGTATTATAAAAGTTGTAGTCAGCTACTTTGTATAAATCATAAATTAAAAAATCCCTACCTCAACCGAAGAACAACAGTGACATATTTGACATAAAACCCAAAATGACATAAACAATCAAGATAATATTTTTCAATTCATAGGCAAAAATAAATAGATGTGAGAAACTGAGGATATAGCACTGAAAAAGGAATCATACATAGTATACTAACAACACATACACAGTCACAAGCCTGAGTAGAGCCAAGCCAACAACCCTCACATCTTTGCCGAGTAAACTAGAATTCAAAATTAGATTAGAAGGTACACTCCTAATATCAGAGGTACAAGGGGGGAGGATAGGAGATAAGACGAGGGTGAAGGGAGATAAGTAAAAGCAAAAAAGGTCACACAATCAAAGTGTTATAAAAAAAAATCGCCCAAAAGAATTATAAGCAACCTCATAATCCAATTAGTAAATTTTCGATATTATGGTATAAGTAATCCAACCAGATTTTTATATGCTTCAAAAGAATCAAAACTACAACTATGAAGTGTGAATAACAGGCAAGCAATAGGAGATTCAGCAAGGGATAAGATTACAACGTATAACTTCATGGAAATTGACAACCTTAAACAATCCATACTGTATATCAAAAGCAGCTCGAGTGACATTCTCCATAAAATCTTTGAAAATACCACCACCATCTACGCCAGCTTCCTCAACCCCAAGCTCATTAATGAATGTTACACGAATCTGAAAAATGGGAACACCTCTCATTATAAACCCATCGTCCCCAAGAGAAAAAAAAAACGATGTTAGTTCAAATAAAAACATCAAATTTAAAAATAAGAAGATTACCCGCTCTCGAAGATCATCATCTGACAATGTACTCAACTGATTAAAAGCATCTTCCAAAATGTGATCTCGCCGTACTTTGACCCGATTTCTAGTAAAGACGGCACGAGAACCATCTGATTTCTTTGCTGCAGCCAGCAGTGACTAATAAAAGGAATGAAAAATCACAGGTTACAACCAAAGCTTGCCAATAATGAAAACTGGAAGAGCAGGTTTTGCAATGAATAAAAACATAAGAGTCGAAGGTTTAGTAATTCAGCAGAGTATTTTACACAATTGTCGCTAAAAGAGTTAGGATGGGAATCTGCAGACTGCCAGTAGGAAAAGACAGGCCTGTACACTTAGATTCCTCTATAAATCCATGCAACGGTACGTGTGAAAATGTTAATCCAACCTAAAGTAACCACCTAATTTTGAGTTTATGGCTTCATTACTGACTGTATAATTTATGGAATTGCACAATAAAGCTCAAGTCCAGTATCAAAATATCAGCTACAGCTACCTACAATTACAATAATACCTTCATATCAGACACTCACTTGTAGTGGCAGCTGCAAAGAATATGAGGAAGTTTATACTTATATTTAATAAAAGTACCATGATGCCATGAATCCACCTTATATTTCCATTTCTTCTTTTAGAAACATTCATGCCTTTTCATTCCAATTCTATTAGTTTCACCTCCCAATTTCAACAAACTCATACTTATCCTCTTCCATCGTTTTATTTTTATTTTTTTACATTGACAACCACGACCACAAATTTTACTTAACATCATATTCTAGAATTTCTGGGTTTTTTTTTTTTTTACCCACTTTTTTTTTTAAAAAAAAAGGTTGCATAAACCTTTTCTGTCTCTTTCATTAGCTGCGTAATTCATCTATCTTCCTAAACCTTCCAAAGCATTATTATTTATACAATAATCACAACAATATTCTATAAATATAAAAATGATATAATTTCTGAATATAAGTTATATACCAATTTGAGAATATACATCTTATATTTTAAGAAGTAATATAGCAAAATTTAAGACAAAAATAATTTATACTTCTACAATTTAATAAATTAAGCAACGCGTAACAATACAAATTTCGGCCGTCAGCATATAACAGCCTTTTATACAACAGAAAGCTAAAAATCCAATAAGTAACGGTATGATGCCTCCACCTCTACTAAGAATGGAAAGCAAACTACATTGAACAAAATAGCAACAAAACTTTATCAAAGGAGACCAAATACATCAATTTTTCAAGAGCATAAAATCACATTTCAATGGTGAACAAAAGGAAACAACTAGATGATTACTCACAGCAAATATTTTGACCCTGCTTGTAAACGGAACCAAGAATGGAGCTTGCTTGATTATTTCACGTGCCCTAGTGTTTTCCTGCATAGCCTGGGAGAAAATATATTGCAAGGGTTAGCACTGGACAAAGCTGGTGTCTCTGAGGGTTGAGGGTTCACAGATAAAAAGAAAATACCTGAGAAATAAAATAGTCATTTACACCCTCTGCATGAAAGTCACTTGAGGGGGCAAACTGCCTTCTATTGTTCCAATCTTGCAACTGTAATAATGACATGACATGTAAAGCAAGTACATGAGTTTTTTATCGCTTTAATTTAGGTAATGTAGATGTGTTTAGAGTCTATAGACGCTAAAGAAAATCAACAATCTCAGTTCACATACTATGCAATTATGCATCATCCTCTCTATTTCCCCTCCTTATTCCCCTCGCCCCCCAAAAAGAAAGAAAATCAACAATCTCAGTTCATATATACATATGTAGCAGAAGAGCAGAAAACTGCCCTCGTGCAAACTGACACTCGCACAAGAGACTTGCAACTGCTCCAGGATAGTAGCTGAATGAACACACTTGATCCCTACAGCTTTAAAAGATGCCTTCACAAACGTGTAGCAAGCTCAATCAGCTCGCAATTAAAGAACAAAATTCAATTTGTTTTAAATAACCAAAACACATCATCAGACTAACATATTTTAAGGTTCTCCTAGATACTAGTCATAGCCCTCATTGGTATAGAGTTGACAGAAGAATTTGGCCAAACAAAAGCTTTGACTGCTACTTAGGCTTCCAAACATAAATATAGAGAAGAGCTGAATAGCTGATTACATTTGCTCTATATATGGTCACATAACCAATACTGGAAACACCATAATCTAATCAAGAGAGACCAATAACAAGATATATTCAAGAACACCAGTCCCTCAATGGAAATCTGAGCATGTAATAATCAACCATCCTAAAAAGATGATTGTGAGCATAACACCTTATGAAATACAATAGTTTTGACAAAGCCAAGGATACTGAATAGAAAATGAATCCACCCAGCTCTTGTTTGATCCCAAAAAACCAATGAGTACCATTCATGTTCCTTAAGCTACCACAAAGTTATACTGACGCATATTGTTGAGATCTCAAAAATCAATCACAGTATTTCATTGAATAAAGTCTGTATATCCCTCAAACCAAGAACCCAAATCAAAAATCAAATTCTCACAACCACACCCTGTGTCAGATCCAAACTGTATTATCCAGATCAAACTATTAGGACCCAACTGTTATCAATAGGATTCAAAAAATATTTTCAGAAAGAAATTTACAGTTAAGTGATCTTAACTGTTATCAATAAGGACCCAACAGTACATTTTTCACAAATTTAACATAATCTTTCTACCTAAAATCCTGTTATCAACAGAGAGACAAGTCAGTAAAAATAATTCATTTAGTTCATGAGCCTTGAATACCTGAGTGAGAAGCTCAGCCACAACTACGCTGACCCTATGCTGCAAAAATTCTAATGGCTGCTTCTTATAAGCCATACTCTCATTATTAGACTTAACCAAGTTCAATGGAGCCACTGGATTCACCCACAGCAATTGCCATAATGCCTGTAAGATCAAATTATATCACCGATTCAGTAAAGTTGGATATACCAACTACCAAAATTACATAAATTTATAGTTAAAGATAAGTGTACACGAGAATTTGACAAAATATAAGCATTCACAGAGCATGCATCGTGCAAAATCAAAACTAATTATAGCAAAGTAAAAAGTTATATTAAGAAATTAAAACCATGTGCATCGTGCAAAATCAAAACTAATTAAATATGAAAATCATGAAGCTGTTGTTTCATAAGTTTATATTTTTACTCGAAACTATATTGTTGGCCAATGCAATGAACATCCTATATTAGGCTAAAAGTGATGAAAGGCACTCTATATCAATTTGATTAAGATTGTATATGAAGGAAAACTAAGAAAATACGCCACTGATTCATCTAATAGCATATTATTAACGATACAATTTCTACCTTTCAAATTTTTACAAATTCTTTGAAACGGTTGAAACAAAGTTGGACACGGATGAGCAACATTTGAGAGTTAGATTCAATAATGAGAGATTGGACTTAAAGGTTGAAGGAATTTAAATTGATACATTAATGTTCAATGTTTAAAGGGAAAATATCAGGAAAACAAAGAGATCATAGAAAAAAAAAAATTAGGATAAACATGAAGATAAAAGGAGGAGGTTAGTCAGGTGACACCTGTCTCTAAAGGATAGTTTTTCAAAATACTAGGTATAGATTTTAGTAAGCATGTGAGTCAATCAATGGTCAATGAGCTTTGCACATGTAGAATAGATTAAGAAAAATTTGAGGCATTTGTAAGATTTATTTAAAATATAAAAATCATGCATAATACACAGTGTGTATTGTGTAAATGATGCATATTCCATTCAATCAAAATCATCAAAAGATGACAAGTAAAAGCTATGTATGTTACTCCGACATGGCTGTTTTGGTCCCATACCTAACATGAGACGATCCGGTATGGAATCCCTACCAGATCTGTGATTGTCCAGTAGAGACACAGCAGGTTATAAAAAAGAGAGATGGTAAGGAGAGAAAAAGAAAAGGTGCAAGAATCACTTCATTCCATTTATCCAAGATTCCTAGGTCAATAACTGACCGTCAGTTATTTAGGGTGAAATTTACCGAAATTATATTTGAAAGATGGGTTTTGCTAAGTACATAAATCTGATCACACTGAACGGATTTTCATGATGGTCACTACTCCAGTGGTCTTTTGGCAACGGTGAGTCGTGGTGAGTACTGGTGACCAACTCCAATTTTTCACTCAAATTGCCTGCTATGTCTTATTTTTAATTTTTATTCCAATAAAAGGTATGCAGGGGAGGGGTGGAATAAATCAGTCATACAAAGTGTGAGTATGTGAAAAAAAGGAAACCCATGTGATACTTTTCAGCTGTACTTCCTATTTCACTTAAAAGCTGATTTTTAAGTCTTCAGTAATGTAAAAACTGTAAAGTTAAAGCTTTCTTTGACATTTTCAATTTAATTTTTCAATACTATACAAAGAAAAACCTTTAAAATCCTATATTTTGTTGATTGCGTCCTTGTAACCATGTCTAAAATTAAAATATATCTTAAAATTCGAGTTTTTTGAGGTCTAACACTCGGATCTATACCCATAAATAACATCCATATCCGAGTCCGAGTAACACAATATAGATATACAGGACAGCTAACTATCAAAGTAGACAATTTCAGAACTGTCTTTGATCAAATCACAATGGCTAGAGGGTACAAAAGAAAACTGAAGAGCATAGCTGGCAAAAATTACCTGTCGTAGTATAACAATTAAGTATCTAATATCCTTCAGAGCCAACGGTTTTTCCTGTTCATAGAACTCTTCATTATCAACTATCATAAGCATGTGCCTGCCAGCACAATGAAAGAAATGTTAACCTTTGCACAGTTTATACAATTGAAATTAACAAACAGTAGTATCAGGAAATCTATAGTGGTTAATTGGTTATCAATACAATATTTCAGAAACAATACAATTCCTAGAAAAAGAAGTTGATAGCTCAAAGAACCACAAGAGAAAATTCTATCGACAAAATTTAAGCACTTTCAACACCTTTAACTTAAAAACAAAGGAAGTATGTCCCAATCATATCTTTTTTGAAATGAAGCATGTAATGAAAGGGTGGAGTATCTTGTAAATTGTAGTGTTACGTTAAGGATTAATAAAAGTGACACTCTTCCTTTTTTACGATCTGGACAAAGGTCAATTTAATTTCTATCTTAAGATAAACAAACAGTGCAATAGAAGTATAGAACACTAAAATTGATTTCATATAGCCCTGATACAGGTACGAAACAAAAGAGAACCTTTCTTTTAAATCAAGAAAAAAAAGAAAAGAATCACAAATCGAGAATAACAGTACTGTCCACAGAGCTCCACAAGTAATACATATTCAATCAAATTACCAGTATATGTATTACCAAACAGGTGTCTTTTCAGCAGGTTTTGTTTAGTAGTTCTTCAATTAGTTGCGAAATCAGGTAAGGGAGTTTCACTCATATATGGTACAGATTCAGCCAAAGCTAAAAACACTAAATCACAAAAATTGTTTTGTCTTCACCGTGTTTAAACCAGTAATTGCAATGACATTGTTTTTTTTTTTTTTTGCTAATAGACCCCCAGACAACACAATCGTGTAAACACAGACAACCAAACAAGAGGATAGGTGAAGAAACAAATCATTACAAGATTCAAAATGATCCACAGAAAATGGAAGGGGAAAAAAACCTGGAAAATAATTTTTAATCGAATAGCGATACAGGATTAAAGATTACAATCATAAAATAAAATAGTGAAGAGGTGATAGGGTTTATAAATTCTCAGTAAAAATAAAGAAGGCTAACTATAAGGAGACAATAAGCCAGAAACATCACAAGCAAACAGGCAGCTTACTTATATACAGGACAGAAAACAGCCAGAGGTAACAGCCAACCAGGTACACCTTCTTGCAGATAAGAGGATCGTTCTGCCACCAATGACCACTTCTGAGTCTCATGACACCGCTTCATAAAGCTCCAAAGAACAGGAACAAGAGCAGTCCTGTATGCTAGGATTGTCATAATGCGTTCAAGTGGCAAAGTGTTAAATGTCACATGCAGGAACGCACATGCTGTCCCAACAGCTGTTACTTCTCTATCATCAGGTACATTATTATTGGTGAACGAAGGAATTCCTCCCAGCAAAACATTTATCTGCAAAAAAATAGGGTATCACTTTGTGATGGAAAAAAAAAAGGTTTGACTTCTTGTGATGGTGAAAGTGAATCTTAAAATAAAAAAGGTATTAGGATAACAGAAAATCAGGCTATAAGCACACCAACTGGAGAAGAAACCGTGGGTCTATCGCATTAGATATCTGGGATTCCAAATCCTTGCTTAAAACAATTTCATTAGATTCTTCCACGTCAGTCATATCCTCATCTTCCACAGCAGAATCTGAATAAAGGTTGCACAATCAAATATGAGTTCAGGAATGAGTTACACTTTGCACTCGAAGACTCCGGAAGAGTTTTCAATTCAACAAACTAAGAGAAGTGAACGATAAAAAGAAAGGGATCCATATAAAGACCCCAGTAGAACAGAAGACAAATGTAGAAAAGAAATATGGATAAAGTCTAAAATAATCTTACTTTCACTAGTTTCTCTACTGACTGACTTTAGACGAGGTAGCATCTCCAGTAAAAATGTCGCTGCTGCTGCTAAATCAATAGCCTGAGAGATAACAAAGAAATGACAATCATCTATACCAGCAAGACTCTAGCCTTATTCTGAAAAGCAAAACAAAATAAGATCTATCTATAGAATCTTTATAAAATAAAAATTAGAAAATAAATAAATAAATAATTCACACAACTTTAAAAGTTTGACCAAGGAAGCACACAAATTTTATCAAGAATTATATCTTGGTAATAAAAAATTTCATTCAACCAACAAAGAAAACAGATCTATGCATTGAAAAGGAGCATATAAACTAGATCATATGCAATCAAATACAAAATACAAATTTAACATTCCTTCTCTATTCAAAATAAATAAATAAAAAAAAAAAATTAACATTCCTTCTGGGAGGATAACAAATGATGTACAAAAAAAAAAAAAAAAAAGAGGAGTCTACAAGAACAGTTTTTAATCAATACCATCTCAAACGAGCAGTCAGCCTTTGATAAAACAAGTGCAGATGCTTCTAATGTGTTTCCAAGTAGACAAGCATAACTTGGATACTCGGCTGAGACATCTTTTGGTAGAACATGAGTGTTACTTCGCACATATGACAGCATCTGGTGTACATAATGCTTGCACAACTGCTGCCTAGCAAAGACCTGGAAAGATAATGAAAGCACCAGCTCAAGATTACACTGTAGCCACAAATAGAAGCTAAAATTAACATGCCCTGCAAAGGCTGCAATTGCAATATCAGACTAAATGCATCTTTTTCAGACACAAGGGCCAGGGGAAAAGGCTTTGGGGAAAAAAATGACTTCCTGAGTCCACAACAGCAGAAAATATGCAAGCATAGCTACAATATAAGATCAGCATATAGAATCACTATGGCCCTGTTTGGCGATTAGCTGATTTGACTGGCTATTTGCATTAGTTGTTTTAACTAGCTAATCGTAATTCTATATGTGTAAAAGTGCTTGGTAACTATCTGTTAGCAATTAGCTGCTTTAGTATATAAAACAACAAAAGGCTAAAAGCTTCTTTCAAAAAGCTCCTAATATGAGATATTTCAAAAAGAACTTTTTGGATCTAAAAAGCTCTTTCAACGGCTCCTAACGAAACACCCCAAAGAACTTTTTGAAATAGTCAAACAGCTCTTCTTACTCCAAAAAGCTCCTAACCAAACACCCCCTATAATAAAATAAAATTAAATAAACCTGATGTCTTTTAGCATAAGCTCATAACATAGATTTCTCTGAATTTATGCAAACTAATATTTAACATGTGCAATGCACTGTTTGAATTTTTAATAAAATTACTTATTTAATGCTTATATGTTAAAAAATTTCTTATATGCGCTAATCAGAATGTAAGGCATTCTTTCTCAAATTGCAAACTTATATTCATAAATTTTAACATTTTCATTCAACCAATAAAAAATAATAATGTAATTAAATGTTTAAAAAAGAAAAAGGAAAGAAAAGCAGTTAACAAAAGATTACAAAAGAATAATGGAACAAGATTAATGCAAAACATAATAATAAGATACTCAACAGTTAGAATATGACATGTGTAACAAAAAGAAAAAAAGAAAAATAAGAAGAGTTATGCTAGAAGGGACATGAAGCACTTAAAATTTTTTGCAAATACCTCCATATTGCTGAGTCTTACTCAATTACTGTAGCTATGCAAACCAAGGAAAAGTGAAAACTGGGACCATACATGTGGGTACTTTTGAATTAAAGAGGAGAGTGACGGAGAGTAAGATTAAATAAATAAAATTGGGCCCCACGAAATGGGGTTGTGGATGATAAAAAAATGAATAAAAAGTTGTCATAAAAGGAATAAAGTAAAAGTGAGTAGAACTAGAAAATGGATGAAAATGGAAAGTGAGTATGACTTAGGAAAACAGAGGTAGTATCAGTAGAGATCTCGGGGAATGTGGTGAAATTTGTGTAAATGGCATTCAAATTTGTGGTTATCTGATTCATTTTTAGGTCAAAAGCAGAGAACATCTTGACCAGAAGCAGTATCCAATTTAACAGGAGAACCTGAAAAGATTTTTAGCAAACCTACCTCTTTTAGGTGTGGAAAAAATTTCCACAAGAATGGTATAGTAAGAATTTGTGATGAAAAGCTCCACCATTGATCAGCATTTTGGCACACACATGGCTTCTCACCAACATGTGGTATTATTAGGGTAAGCACTAGCTCCAAGGAAGAAACTTCAATCATATTCTGAGAATTCAAACTTTCCTTCACAGCATAAAACACATTATTTAGTTATCCAAAATGACATCAAGAAACATAAACTTCAAGGGAGATCCAAATATAACTGCAAAACAAAACAATATAATGGGCCAAAGCAGAATAACAATCATAACAGCAAACCTATTTTTCCCAAAGGTAGAGTAAGAGCGAAAGATGACCAAGATAACTAGCCTTAACCCTCACAAACTTTTAGTTTAAAAAGGCACAAGGCACACCAAGGTGCACAAGGTCCCAGAACCTAGGCACAAGACTGTGTGTCTAATGGATACATGGCAAACCTTTTTTTTTCTATGTTTTATATAAAGAGGTCTAAGTTATACTGATACTACTTCAAATCAGAGAATAAAAAAGCAGCAGTACTTTCATAGATAACACTTGAGAACTTTAATCACTACTAAGGGGGTTTTGCACCTACCTGGCACACAATAAAACAAATAACTCCAAAATAAACTTTCCAAAACAACTTCACCACTTAACATGTTTTGGACACCACAATTCTAAAATCTAAACCCTGTTCCAGAGTGGCAAATAGACCAAAACCACAATATTATAAGTTTGTTACTCTGTTACTTCTCTTTACCGCTCCATCTTCTTACCACTGCATCCAACACCTTAAGAACATTTTGGTGAGGTCTAGTTTAATGAACTAGTTTGACTAAACATTGACAATTATTTTACACTAGCGTATAAGGATAACTATTATATACAGGGATCCATCTCAATGTGTACTTTCCAAAAAATGTAAATTTTATAAAATTTTCAAAAATATATTTAGTAATAAACATTTGAAAATTTAAAGTTCGGAATAATGATCTTTTTCTTTTCCTTTTTTTTTCCTCATTTGAAGAATTGAAAGCCCACTTTCCCTTCTGATTTTAGTAACCATGTGACTCCTTCCCCCGCCCCTTTTTTAGTATTATATTATATATATTGTGATCTCTAACATGAAGTGTGAAGCCTCCACACCCACGTTGAGTATGGTCATATGGATTATCATATATGTTGGAGGTGCAATGAAGAGTCCAAGGACCATGGATGACAAATCTTAACAGGCACTCACAAGAGTCACCACTGATTCTTGCCAAAGACATGAATAAGAAGGTGAAGATAGTTAGGGAAAACTAAAACAGAATAATGCCTATTGACAGTGAATATTAAAAAAGCAAGATGAAAAGAGAAACTTCAGGCATTAGTTAACACTGCTTGGCATTAGTTACTGATAAGTTTCCCCACTTTGTAAGCAAAATTTTACACGTTATAAAGAAATCAATTAAACTAAAGCTCCAAACAAAATTAGTAAGTATTGAAGGGACAGCAAAGAGACAAAGATGGACATTATCAAGGATAAGGTTATCAACTCTATATATAAAATAAGTATACCTTTGCAGCTAGAGTTATCTCTCTAAACAAGGTAAAGGTATTTCTTTGCAAAAGATAGCTAATTGTTCCACAAGCCCATGGAAGTTCAGGATCAATCAACTTAACCAAAGCTTCCAAAAAACCTGCTAAGATATGTAGATTGGACTCTGACCAAGACGATTGTTTCTTGAACTGACTACTGCATAGGTTGTTAAAAAAAAATAAGAAATAATCAATGATTAAGATAGAGTGTAAGATACAAAGTATCAAGTGGATTTAACAAAACATTCACCCTAAAGAAGAATAAAAAGTTCTTCACATCAATCCATAGCAATTTCATATGCACAATAGATCCAGTAAACATGGAAGAAAACAAAAACACAGTATGTAATCAACAAAGAGAAGAGAGGGGATACAGATACATGTGAACATGCAAGAAAGCAAAAACACACTACTTAATCAACAAAGAGAAGATGAGAGGAGGGGGGAGAAGATGTGAACCTTAGTCCAAATCACATCCTTTTCCCATAATGCCGCAAGCCCACAAGTAAAGAAAAAAAATAATCAAAAAAAGATACACGTATAGTATCAGCAAAGCAATCCAAAGAGATATAAAATAGGTGGAAAGTTGGAAACTAAGGCTTTTTTTTTCTTTTTAGAATTAGTGAGGTGCACATTGGTATTAAAAGATACAGTACAGCAATCAGGCAAGGAAACCTCTCCAAAAAAAATCTATTATTTCTGAAGCTTGCCATCAATTGTAGAGTGTACTGATTGGCTATATCCTAATTCAAGAACAAAAGTGAACCTACTATTTCCAATATGATTTTAGAGTAATGGACTTATGTTCCAATTCAGGCTTACAATTTCCAAAGATACTGATTTCCAGATGCATAGGGGAACAAGAGAAAAAAAATCTTTTCAATTTCTGATTTTTTTTATTTTTTTATTTTTTGTGAGTGTGTTTTTTCCAGCCTCTTTCCATTGCAAGCTTTACAACATTGTTCCTAAGAGGCCAGTTCTCTCTCATCTCTCACGAGAAAGGGAGGGAAGCAAGAAAAGAGCACCTTATTTCAAATGCACAAGTTACGGCTTAAGATTTGGACTCCAAAAGAAAACACTGTAAGCCATAGTACACGCTAAAAGCCAAATTGCCAAACGAACCTATAAGCATGAACAGCACGTATACACGCATAACTCAATTGCTTCACCCGGTAATCCACTACACTGTGGTTCGATGAATAATCCATGCCTGTAAACAATGAAATGACACCCCCTGCAAAATGTTCAAAATTATTAGTGCTGCCTTATACACACATTGATTTTAAAAGAAAGAAGCTCACTAATGGCAATATATCTATCTATCTCTATCTCTATCTAAAGGAATAAATTTGAAACAATTCTACATTTGTTAAGATTTACTAATTAATACACCAAAAATACCCTTCATAAAATGGGTGGAAATGGGGGTGGATAAGGATAGATTGGTAAAATAGAGTAGGCGAAACATTCTCTCTCCTATTTACTTCTTAATAAATGTGCCATTTCCATGTGTTACAATTTTAAGAAAATGAAGTAGATAACACACAACAGTTTACTTTAAAATTACAAAACTTGCCTAAAAAGAAAAAAATTTCAGCACTTCTACATTAAATAAGATTTACTAATTTAAACACTAGTATATACCTTGGAGTGTAATTGATAATACATTCATGAAGTACTTGCAATCAAGATAGGTCAGAATCTGTTAAATTCATAACATACTTGAACAAAAAACCTTTTTCTCTTTAAGTACGTAAAGTACATGAGCAAAGCTCGAACATCATGTTCTACTCAATAGTGTTCAAAAACAACTCATTTAAGTTTGTTAATAAGCTTGTTCATGTCTAACAATAACTTGGTTAAAGCGCTCAGGGAAAAAGAAAAGAAAAAAAAAAAAAAAAAAACCTAATATTTTAAACCCAATTTAGTATCTTCCCTTTTCATCATCTTGCATGTTATCATTGTTCCTCATACACATTTGTAAAAATTACAAATTAGTTCATCAATATAGGCATGAAAACATAGCCAATGCTTTTTTCTATGCATAAAAAGATGATAAAATCTTGAACAAAACTATATGGATGCAAAAAAACTTAAAAGTACATACTTCCTCTTTATTTTACTAGCAACATTAAGATTTTTGTACTATTCATACACTCTTATTACATAATATTGCGATTTATACAAAAGAAAAAATATAGTCATCTGGTGTTCAATTCGTCTCAATTTACACTTATTAATTTTATTAACTTTTACTACTCCATAAAACACAACCAAAGATATTAATATATTAAAGTGTACATTGGCAAGCGTGAAATCTTAGCTTTGTAAGTAATATGGAGTAGAAAAGGTTTTTTTTTATAAAAATAAACTTACGGTTCAATTATTTGATCAAGCCCGACTTAAGCTCACTAAATGCAAATGAGCACATTCATGAACAAAAGCTAGAACAAGTCAAATGCTTAGAATTTGAAAAGCTTATTCAAGCTCCTCGAACACTAATAATTCTTATCAAGCTTAGCTGAATAAATTAATCTAGACTTAACATAGATCGTTTGCAACCCTGTATATACCCTTCATAAAGTGGACGGGAGGGGGTAGATAAGGATAGATAGGTAGTATAGGGTAGGTGAAATATTATCACTTTTCTTAATAAACACGTCATATTTTAGAAGATCCTGCGATTGATTCTCATCATCCGCCCTCGTGGCTCTCTAAACACCAAAAAATATCAGCTTTTTTAAGATTGCGACACATACATAAAAGGGATAAAAATACAGCAGTTCTACATTTGATAAGATCTATTCTCTCCATCCCTAAAGGTTATTCCCATCTGAAATCTTGACACTATTCTTAAAATGAGATAAATTACATTCAATATATAAAACATAACATATCGATGATAGGTCTTATTTGATTCATCTCAAGGAGCAATGTAAAAAAAATCTCAAGGCACACTAAAGCGAGAGGGGTTCTGCTGCGTGCGCCTCTTTGAAGTGAGGCGTAGTGGCGTACTATATGGGCAATTAAAAAAATTTGGCTGAAGTGCACCTCAAGTGCGCCTCGGACCCAAAACGCCTCGCCAAGACCAAAATAAGCGCTCACCCCTTGCGCCTTAGGCGCGCTTGTTCAAACACTTTCAAGGAGTATATTATTAATACTCTACTGTTACAATTTTTACTATATCCAGCTAAAGATATTTATAATCAAATTAATGCATTGACAAATGTGTATAATTATAATGTAGAGAACTCGTAGGAACCAAAAGAGCATCAATTAAAACACTAATGAATACCCTTCATAAAGTGGAGGAAGTAGGTAGATAAGGATTGGTGGAAAGCATAGAGGTAGGTGAAACATTCTCTCTAAATCTCTCCTCTTTTTTTTAGTATATGTATCATTTCCACGTGTTACAATTTTAAGGAAACCGTGCGTGTGTGTGTGCGCGCGCGCGCGCGTGCGTGCACGAGCACACGTATTACGTAGTCTATACTAAAGATATCAAAATCATGAATCTACTTTGAACTTATCGGGCCTTTCATAACCGAATTGTAAAATAGAAGCGTAATATTCTCCAAAAATGTATAATCAAGACATTATACTCAAATTCATTTAATGTGTTCATATTATTAGTTAAAAACATAATTACTGATAGAAAATAGTTGTTTACCCACGAAGCAGCCAAACACGGATGACAATATATGTTTATTAATAATTTGGGTTTTTCTAAGCTATACCCCTAAGGTATTCGAGTTTCTAAGGTGTACCCATACTTTTTCAAGTTTCTAAGTTGTGCCCCTCAACTCACTACCATTAATAAATGGTACCCTCCTTGGGACTTCCACGTCACCTAAAGTTAACTATAAATTTAATAGAAAGATGATAAAAGGTAAGGAAATGGTAGAGAAAGAAATCTTAGCCACCGCAACCCTAATAATGAAAACTGAAGCTACGAAATCACACTCTCAAATAACTTTTAAATAACTAATAAGGGTACATTTTAGTATTGATAAGGAGTTGAAGGGCACAACTTAGAAACTTGAAAAGGCATGAGTACACCTTAGAAACTCGAATACCTTAAGGGTATAGCTTAGAGAAACCCTAATAATTTTGTAGGCATGTTTTGGATTTGTGAAGTTTTCACTAGTTAGATGCATATGTAAATCATGTAGAATCGTAAATCGGATCAAATGTCCATATATAAGTCATAGAATCGTAAGATTCTAAGACTTGAATTGTGATTATAAGTCTATACTTTTTTCTGAAACTAACAAAACAAAATTCATTGAATGTGTTTGTACCTATACTTTTTTTGCTTGATAAGCAAGGTCATAGTGTAAGATCCCAAAAAAAAATTCAATCCAATATCTGTTTATAGAAATACTTATTTCTCGTAAAATAAAAATCACATACCTTAATTGAACAACTATAGATTGTACAGAAAAGATTAACATTAAACTCTAAATGTACCCTATATTTTCTTTCCAATCATCTTACCAATCTAAATCTCTTCACATGCCTCATAAAGATTCTGGACCAACTTCCAGCATCTACGTCCAAGACTTTGTTATTTAATTATATAAATAAGCCAGCATCAACATACTAAATAACCTTGAGAGAGCACCCACTTACCAAAGCCCACACCCATAGCATATCAACCATCAATTAAGGAGCATGTGAATGGGCCATCAATAGAATCATGCTATGTATGCAGAACGTATAAACACAAAAAGGTGAAGGGATTCTAAGTATATACGTAGTAATTTGATAAGTATCAATAAATAACAATTCCACAGGAGAACACTAAAATCGATGTGCACTCCCAGCACATTACCAAACAAAACACAGAACCAAAGAAGACAATCTCTAACAATCATAAAATTCAATTGAAAGTTGAACAGTGTACAAAGAAATTACCAGTATCTTTAGAAAAATGCTGAAGTAGTCGACAGGTCTCTGCAAGAGCAAAGAGGTCATCCCGATTTCTCGGATTGAAGAAAAACAGTAACTCGCAGAGATACCTTGAATCCGGAGCAAAACATTGTCTGAAAAAGAAAAACACAAAATGTACATTAACAGATATCAAATAAAAGGCTAAACCTACATATGAAACATAACCATTTCCAAATAAATGAAGATACATCCAAGTCCCATCAAAGATAAATAATAGCAAGCCATATCAACCAAGGATACACGTAAAAAAAATAAAATAAAATAAAAAGAAGAAGAGAGAGAGAGAGAGATAAATTAAGGGGTCAAAGTAAACAAATATCATATTTACCTGCCAACATTCTGGAAGCGCTTCCCGTATGTAGCAAAAAACTTCTCTCGCACCTTATTATGTTCAACTTCAACAACCTTCCAGGCTCTGTAGCATTTCTGCAATTAGTGAGCACGTGGTGATCAAATATAGGTACAAAAGGCTTTTGTAGCTCACTTGACTACCAACCCACTGAGTTGAAAGTCCTTTCTTGAAGAAACAGCATGAGCATAGGACACGGAAAAGTAAGCATATTTATAGATATATGAAGCTGCTAGTCAAGTTTAACGATGAGTCTATGGATAAGCATTTTATGTTCAGCAAGATTATCATACCATATTTTCATTTTAGTATTTAACTTATTCTCAAGGTGTTCTCAAGTTTTTCTATCAGGAGCTAATGCAACTAGCTTAAAGAGCCAAATAGTATGGAGCTTTCAGCCTAAAACCTTTTCACCATCATTATCAATTCAGAGTAACATTTAAGAGTTCCTTAAGATCACAAACCAAGTGGTAGCCCAAAAATTCCAAACATGGATTGATCTCTCCACTGTACTCTTCAACAATTTAATGCATTATTTTTAGCCCAAACAGACCAATTAGTAGATTCCGTGCAACCATACAGCGAGGGCAAAAATTTACTTTCGCACAAAGTAAGCTGACTGACATGAGTATAGGAAGGAGCACAGTATTCGGCACAGAACTGAACCTTCGATTGACACGGACGGTATCACACCATTATTGAAATTAGAGACATACCTTAATGGCTTAACAGCTACTTCCACATCGAAATCTTTCATTTAAAATACCAAAACAAAACAAAAATGCAAAAATTGCAACAATAAACTAAAATGTTAACCACCCATAAATTATCATAGCATAACATTCTTTTATCTTAATTCATTCAAGAATTTACCACTTACCCACCAAGCAAAAATGCAAAAATTGCAACACTAAACTAGAAAATAACACCATAATTCTTCACATAAACAACACATAATTACCCGTATAATGCTCTAAAAATGAACTTTAATTTAAATGATAGCAATTCAATAAAATAAAATAAATCAACATTGAATTAAAACAAACAAACCTGAATTTTAACAGCAGCAGAATTCTGCTTGCGTTGAAACATTCGACGATTCCGCTCCAACCTAGTTTGCTCCAAAAGCTTTTGCCTGTCTCTCTCCTTGGAGCTCCGACCACCTAAATCAACCCGTTTTCGAGCAGATGGATCGCCCGAGAAGAACATTGTTTCTTGCAAAAATTCTACATCAAAAAACAAAAACCCACAATTAATTCAATGAAATAAATGTAACAATTACATTAAATTGAAAAAATGAAAAGAAAAATTTAGCGTTGGAACAAATAAAATAAAGTAAATGTAGAGAGGGTTTTCGATTGATTCTTGATACCTTTGAATTTGCCCTAAAAAACAAGTTTGGGATTAATCTTGTGAGTTTGATTATTGAATTATTGATCGAAAAAAGCAAAGATTTTGGAAATTTGGTTGAAGAGTAAAGATTGAATAGAAGTTGTGATTCTTCTCCCTCTTTCCTCCCCCTTCTTTGTGTATGCTAAGAAAGAAATCAAATTTATATTAAGGGGAGTGAAATTTTGATGACGGCATACCTTAGTTCACTTCTCAGTAAACAAATGATAATATGTTATACACTACCTCCCTTTCATATTATTTGCAACAAGTAAACAAATGTTATTTACTATCTTTCTTTCATATTATTTGCAACAATTTGATTTTAACTCATTTCTTAATAAACAAATGTTAAATACTACGACTATTCAAAAAAAAATGTTAAATACTACGGAGTACCTCTGTTTTATATTATTTCCAACGATTTGATTTTAATTCATTTATTAGTAAACATATGTTACATACTACCTCCGTTTCATATTATTTGCAACGATTTGACATAAAGTAAATAAAAATGTCTAATCGTTGCAAATAATATAAAACAGAGTACTATAAATAAAATAAATGAATAATTGATTAATTTTCTTGCTAAAACAAAAACTTTTTTTCCTTGACTTAAAAGAAAAACTTTTTTTAAAACCTATGTTGATTTGGGAACTATTTCTCCATGAATGGTCTAATTGGGGAGTTTCGATTTTCTTTTATCTTTGACAAGGATAAAATTATAGATGGTGTTGGTGGTTGACTCCGTTAGCAGCTTATTACTCCGTGATGTAATTCGTATGCCATATTAGGCAGAGTATCATAGAAGTATATCTATCTATGTATAGTAATATATAAAGTGAAAGGGGGTTTTGGGTGATAATTTCACTTTCCCAAAATACCCCTTTCATCTTTTATAATTTTCAAAAGAAAACTACCAAAATTTAAAAAATATAATTACCGTGTTTCAAAAAATATATATATAACTACTTTTTTTAAAATAAAAAAAAAACACAAAACAAAAAAAAACCCACCCTTTAATTTATTTTTTTATTTTTTTATTTTTTTTGAGGGAAATCATATTTGCATGAACATTATAATGTACTCATATCTTACCTTTTAACCTCTATGATTTCATCAATTTATAAACCTACTAATATATATTTTTTTTTTATTAGAATAAGGTAGATAATATTTTAGGGAAAAAAAAAAAGAATCAAGCCATGCATATTAATTTCTTAGGTGCACGCGCAATTTGCGTGTGTTTCACAGCTTGTGACATATAAGTATAAAACATTTAAATGAAAATTGTTAATGGTATTTAGTAGTTAGCATCAATAAACTCTCACTTACAACACGCTTATGAGAACCACTAATACGGTTAACTATTTAAATTCTTAAAATAGGAAAAAAAATATATATATATACTTTGTACCATTTCATTAATGTTAATGTATCGAGTATAAATTTAGTTGCTTGTTTTAAAAAACATATATAGGAAAACTTGTCAGAAAAAATCTTTTAAAACCACCATTTTGCTAAAAAAAACTTTTAAAACCTTTTTGTTTAAAAACCACCACGTCCATTATTTTTACGAAAGGAAACTTATTAACTTAGGGTTCGTTTGGCATTGCTGTGGTTTTCTGTTTTTTTATTTTTTGTTTTCTAAAAGTACATGATATGAGTCCCATAATGAATCAAAAATTATATAAACTTATTAAAATTATGATAATTTTGAAAACTGACAACAGAAAAGTGGAAACACCTTTTTCTTGTTTCCTGTTTTTGGTTTTTGGTTTTTAAAAAAACAGGAAACTGAAAACCAAAACTGATGTCAAACAAGTCCTTAATTAACCTCTAATTTACTTAATTAATCTCTAATTTTCTCCCATTTCTTCTAACTAACCTCTAATCCATCAAATTACTTAATAATTAGATTTAATTTATATATATAAATAAACCACCAACCAACCAACCACCTTTCCCCTTCCCCCTCCCTTGGCAGCAACCCCCACCCCCACTGAACCCGCTACCCGGATCCACCCCACCTCCGGCGACCTACCTCCACCGTCAGCCGACCCTCCCTCCCTCCCTCCCTTATCAGCGTCGGCGACCACCACCTCCCTTCAAATTTTTGGCTCTAGTTTTCTCAAACATGCTCAAATCAAGTCCAAATCAAATGCAATTTGTTTTTATATCACCCTAGCATCACATATATACATAATCAAAACCAAAACAAGTATCAATTGCAAGCAAGAAGCATAAAATTAAAAACCCCCAAAATGATTTTCTAGGGCTTATTTTTCAAAATAAAAAGGTGGTGGTGATGAGTGACATTTATGTTACCCTTAGGGGTAGTGTATTGGTCTCTTTTCTCCTGTTTTTCTTAGGTTTTCTACCTCTTTTCTCCTCTTATGGCTTCCTTTTCTTTTATGGATGAAAAGTATGCTTATTTGCGCTTGTTTTGATAATCTTTATGCATAATTTTATCATCCCCATGCTCTCGTGATCTTTGCTATCTTTTGCAGGTTCCATGACGGTCCTAAGCACGGTAGGAGGCCCCTTGGCCAAGTATGGAGGCATGGACAAAGACAAGAGGAGCAAAAGGGAAGAAGAGGAAGCAAGAAGAGGAAGTTCAAGAGGAGGTGTGGCCGAACCTCTAAGAGGTTCGGTCGAACCAAGGTGTGGTCAAACTTTTGAAAAGTTCGACCGAACCTCCAAGGCAGTTTCAACCAAGTTTTCAGCATGTTTACAGGAGGGGTCGAACCAGGAAAGTTCGACCAAACAAGGATCAGGGAGGTTCGACCGAACCTACCCTGAGTTCGGCCGAACCTACACTGAGTCCGACCGAACCTACCCAGAGTTCGGTCGGACCTTTTCCCGTTTCAGCTGACTTTTTGCGGAGCTTCCTAAGCAATTTTGTAAGGGGTATAAATAGTTTTTTTTGCTCATTAAAGAAAAAAGATTTTTCAGTTTAGAATAGTTTTTAGGTTAATTTTAGGTTTTTAGAGAGAGAAACTCTCAAATTTTGGAGAGAGAAAGTGAGGAGCACAATGGTTTTCATGGATTTTGGATAATCAAAGGAGGAATTTGATGATTTGAAGATCTCCATTTTATATCAATGAGCATTTCTTACTCTCTTCTCTCTTTATGCTTTATTAATTGCTTTGTTAATCATGTTTGAGTAGATTTCCTTCTACTAGGTGTTGAGTGAAGCTTTGTTATGGTTAATTGAGTTATTTGAGATAAATTTGATGATAATTGTGTGATTAAATTGATTGAATTGATGATGGCATGTTGTTTGTTTTAGATTGGATTGATCTCCCAAGATAACAAACTTAATTGCATGTTAGTTCTAGTTTGACAAGGGATTGTGAATTAGAATTTATATATTTGATTGCATTTTGGGTAAATTTCTTCTATGCACCTAGTCAATGAGGTATCTAGGCTAGGAATTTGAGAGATTGCTCTTGATGGTAATTAATTCCCATTTTAATTCTTTCTTTGCATGATTGATTATCAAATCGATTCCCATTAACTTGTTAATTGTTCAAAGTGGATCTTTGCCCCTAGTAGACTTTGTAATATCTTGATCTTTATATGTGTGTTAGTGTAGTTGTAGTGTTCACTATCCATAAACCGACTTCGGCGTAGCTTAAGCATTAGATCGAGAACAATCCAACATTACCGTTCCTTGTGGTTCGACTCCGAACTTACCACTAGACTTGTTTAGGGGTTAGTTTTAGGATTTATAAATTTATTTGATTGAGTGTGGAATGTGCGACCGTTCTAAAGCCCATCAGGTGGTCGCCGGCGGGGATAAAGGGGAAAAACAGGGTTGGACGGCGATGGAGGTAGGTCGCCGGAGGTGGGGGATTTGGGTGGCGGGTTTGGTGGGGGGGAGGGGGTTGCTACCAAGGGAGGAGAGGGAGGAGGTGGTTGGGGATGGTGGTTTGTTTTATATATAAATTAAATATAATTATTTAGTAATAGTGGATTAGAGCTTAATTAGAAGAAATAAGAGGGAATTAGAGATTAAATAAGTAAATTAGAGGGTAATTAAGTAAATAGTTTTCCTCTCGCAAAAAAAATAAACGTGGTGGTTTTTTTTTGAAACAGTGGTGGTTTTTTTAACTAAAAGGCTTTTAAAAGGTTTTTTTCGCAAAATGGTGCTTTTAAAATGTTTAATCTGACAATATATATATATATATATATATAGCAAACCATTTATATTAAATCCAATAAAATATACTTAAATCATGATAATTTACAAGCACAAGAGCTAACAATGGCAATAAGAAAGACAAGTGAGAAAAAAGCACAACACAACAAGGGCACCGGGCAGACAGGCATGTGTATTGCAAAACTAATGCATGTTATTATGCATGGGATTGTGGGCAAGCATGACTAGACACGACACAATACGACTTGAGGCAACAATGCATGACGTATAATAAAATTTGGTCTATGCACATAAGCACAAAACAAAAAGTTGTAGTGACACATGGCCTAGAATGGACCATGTCCAGTTCACTCATTTAAAAACAAAATTTGTACACACGACATATAGCTAAGGGTGCAAATGAATAGATACATACAACCTCTTAGTCAAAACTTGATTGTATAACAATGAGAACAATATAGATATATTATATGTCACTTTTTTGTGCATATGAAAGTGTTTTGGTAACAAAAATATGAAAGGATAAATTTTAACATACAGTTTAGTACAAAATTAATAATAAACTTTTCTATAGGTACAATTTATATAATAATGTTAATCACGAAATGTTGTCCCAAAAATTACCCAACATTTAGTTTTTCAGCTAACAATAAGCAAAAGATGTTTACTTGAAGACAGACCTTTATCATTAATGTAAAGTAGGAACATCGAGATGACTTCAAAACCATATCTCAGCCTACATTAAATTCCATTAAAATAAATTATATTACCAAATATCTTCCAACTAAATAAACCAAAAAAGGAATATATCTTCAATTATCATCCATATCAGTTGCAATCAATAAAAAATGGAAACAAATTAAAATCAATAAAATAATATTATGCATGTTTTAGATGATTTTGGTATCAATATTAATGATATACTATATTAATCTGGTGCGATGCACGATTTTAAAATAAGAATTGAATTATAGACTTAAGGCTAATAATCCTCTAACATGAAACAATTTCAGCTCTCTTT